AGGGGGTTCCTATGAGGTTAAATTGAGCTGTAGGCCATCATTAGATATTTTCATATAAGAAAATTAAATTCTGGCCTCTTTGCTGACTTCAGTCTATTTCTATGTACAGTCTCTCTTGGCTCCTTTGCTTGTCAGTCTGAATTTTGTTTGCAGCTATACTGTCAGTTCCATTTCCTCTCCTGGTCCTGCTTCTCTGCTGTTCAAGAATTCTAATTCCCCAGTTAGCCCCACTCTAAGCCCATTGTACTCTTCATTCTCAGAATGGAAGGTGCAATAGATTTGTTCATTTCATTGGATATTCAAATAAAAGTCTGGAGGCATGAGTGAATATCCTGGTTGGTCAATCACAAAGAAATTGACATCAACTTGGTGTTCATAAAGTAGCAGGACAGCTCAGTTATATACTTTGACAATCTGGACTCGCAGATGCTTCTGTGTCCCTTTCCTTTCCATTCTGAGGGAAGGATTTGGTTGTCCTGGTCATAATCCTGGTCATAAAAGCAGGAAGCCAGGTTCTAGAAGTCAGCAATGCTGGTCCCTGGGGATATGTGATGGGGAGGGTTCAAAAAGAACCATATCACAGGGACAGGATCTCTTACACCCAGTTCCATTTCTAGAATAAGAAGAGACGAGTGAATAGTTTGTCTACCACCTACCATTTGTGAGCTCTTGACTGAATGGGTTTTCCGAGTTGGTTTTAGGAGTCAGATCTAAATCATCCACTGTGGTAAATAGAGAATTGAAAGAAGAGAGTTTTAGCATTTAAAGCACATTGATTTTTTTTTGCAGTTATTCTCATTTTATCCTCTCTTGTTCCTTCTAGTCCAGTTCCTCTCTTTGGAGTGTGTGAGCTACTAGGTCACTTTTATATGGAGTTTCAACCCATGACAGTGGCTCATCCATGGCCCGTGGGGAATATGAGCAAGCAGGTGTCTAGCCCAGCAGCTCAGTGCAGCACCTTCCCGCCAAACTCCCTCGGTAGCCCTGGTCCTTACAGCAGAAACCCCTGGGCAATGGCTCAGTGTTCGCCAGCTCCTCCCATACAGAAATCAGGTAAAGAAGTGGCGAAAACTGAAACAGTCTAGATTATTATTATTTTTTCGAGATATGATTTGTATAGGCAGATTTAGCAAATATATAATCTACATAATTTTAACTACATAAATATTAACAAGTATTTTGTAAATACAAATATTTACATAAAATTTACAAATATTTATATATATTTACAAATACATACTTTGCATATTTGTATATTCATACACACACACACACACACACACACAGAAGGGAAGAGAGTGATTCCTAGATTTTCCTGCTAAAAAGAATTCTAGCCCAACCTGCATGGCTCTGTGGTTGAGCGTCGACCTATGAACCAGGAGGTCAGGGTTCGATTCCCCATCAGGGTACATGCTGGGGTTGCGGGCTCGGTCCCCAGTGTGGGGCCTTCAGGAGGCAGCTGACTGGTGATTCTCTCTCATCATTGATGTTTTGATCTCTCCCTTCCTCTCTGAAATCAATAGAAAAATATTTTTTAAAAAAGAGAGAATTCTATCTTGACCTCTCCATCTCTTCCTCTCACACACCTTCTGAGGAGGATCCTCACTTGCCATGTCGGTGATTTGGGGCTTTGTAATGAAGAACAAAGAAGAAAAGGGAAAGGTAAGACGGGTGAACATGAGGGGTTGAAGCTGAGGTGAGAGTATTTGGGGAGAGTTTGAGGTAAGTATGACCTGGAAGCAGCTTCAGTTTGTTTGTTTTTAAATTGTGGACATTTTTATCCCTCCTACAAAGTGTTTTCGAAGTATAAAAAGAGAAACGGAGTTATTTACAAATGACTTTGGTTGCTGGACTATGTTCTCTGACCACAATATCAGACTCTCAGAATGAGCAACATGACCCAGGACTCCGGTACAGAGATTGCGTCTAACTAGATTGACTTACCATCTGGCATAACTCGATCTTTCCCTTCCTCGTGTGTTAGATCAGGAATGTCATTTTTATATTCTGAAAACAAATCTAGTAAAAAACATACTGGGTTTAGAATATAACTAACAACCTGTGCGCTGTTTTAACGCAGTGTTTTCAAACTTGGTTGAACAAGACTTACAGTAAAAAATGCATTTTACATTACAGTCCCATACATGCACTTATGCACATACAATGAAATGAAAAGTTACAATATTTACCCTTTTCCAAACTTCTTACCTTTTTCTCATCTTTTCTACTCATCCTTTTCTTTTTATTTAATTCTAGTTCATTGGAAAAAATTCTGGTCTCCTTATCCTTTTATTATCAATTTTATTCTAGTTCAAGAAAAAATGCTAGTTATTAAATTGATTCTCATGACCCACTAAATATTTTCACAACCCACCTAACCCACAATATGGGAAGTATAATATTATATTTTATTCTAATGCTCCTTCAACAAATAGCCCCCAAACCAACCTGAAATCAACCCCACTATCTCCACTTTATCACCACTCAAGTTCTTTAGTCTGTATAACATTATCATTTATTAGAGGGTCTAAGAACCTAAAGTCCTCTAGAAGGCCCATGATCAAGCAGGTTTGACCTCTAAGCTTGACCCCGTCAATTGTATGCTTTGTCCCGTCACCCACAAACCATATTGCTGAGCTCCCAACCATCTATTCAACCAAATAGCGGATGTCCCTTACCTACTGTTCCCAGCTCTACTCATCCTTTCTGGATCCTCTGCTCTTGCTCAGCTACCCTATGTACTGTCTTCTGAATACAGTTTTATACTATCTCAGGTTCATATTTCATGCCCTGATCA